GGCAGCTAAACAGTAGTTCTATCAATAAATTTCCCCTATAATCATCCATCTTCATTCTTCCAAAAAGAAAACAAAAACGCACCAATATATGTAGAATTTTGGAAAGTTTTTATAAACTACATAATATATTGGCACACCAGATAAGCAGCTACATAATACATTGGCACACCATGCTCTTCGGCTTTATCATTATCTCATTATCTAGTATTTTTTTATATTTATTTTAGGACAAACATCTAGTTTTTTAAAATCCATGATGATAAGAAAAATCTAGTTTTTCTTAGAGTATTACTTGGTGCCTCTTTCCTTTTATTAGTTGTAAATTACAAACACGTAGTAATTAAAAGAATGAAAAAAGAAAAAAGATGTTTATGTTTTTATAACTTTTTATTTTAATATTTCTGAGTTAGAATAAAATCTCTCGTAGTGTCAAAAAAAAAAAAAAAAAAATAAATATACATGTTTTACTTTTAACCATAAAATGGATTGAAAGCAAGTCATACACTTTTTTCTGTAAATGAGTGACCCAACTCATGAGATCGAATATGGGAAACGCACGTACACCTATATATCCAAATGAGAGCAGTCTTTAGGTCTTCAACCGCCGCCACCAGCACCGCTTATAATATTTTTGCTTAATTTAAATACTTTTTATTTAAATAATTTGTGATATGACTGATTGCAGATCACGACAGAATGAAATACTTTTATTTACTTAATTTGTGGGTAACAAGAAAATTAAATATAGCTCCTAGTGGAAGACAAAGACCTATCTAAAGTCTAACCAGAGGGAGGGAGGGTGGCGTAAGCAGAGCAGAACATGAGCAATCATTTTAGTTAGGTCATCCCACAAAGCAGAGCAGAACATGTTTGTGTTCCTCAATATTTCTGCCTTCTGCTTTTGTTGCCACAGTTGACATAAATGCCAAAAAGACCAGCAAGGTAAAATGCCTATATTTGATCCATTTCCAGATACAAACGCCTCAATTTATTAAGCATAAGATACTGAATTCTGTCATGATGTTAGCTCGACGACCTAATTCGTACGTGTAAAGATGCTCGTCCAATATTTTTAATTTTTGAATTGTTAAAATCACATTTCGGGACATGTTCACATAATTAATGGACCCTCCAAAGTAATCTTATTTTTTATTAATGCCAAATCATACATGTACTATAGTTGGTCCAAATTATTTTCCGATTAAGATAGATCAAACGAAATTTAATATGATCAGTTGGATGGCTGCAGGGGACGAGACAGTTGAATCCAAAATGGACCACGTGGCAGTTTGTAGTTGTAGCTGCCAATTCTCCTAAGTAAGTCCATCTTTTTTCCTGGGAGGGAAGCCATTGAAGCTTGGTTTTAGAATGAGTTTGATTTGTTTTGAATGGATATCATTGGCGGGTGCGTCTGTGTCAGTCATTTGGTAAGAAGAGAAAAAATGATGACAACCTAATTAGTGAATGCGAAGAAGACGGACTGAAATGCAATCCAAGAAATTAATATTACAACACGTGGAGTTTATCATCAAAATAATACACCTCATGCACTGATGAGCTGGAGGAGGCACACAATAAAATTTGAAAATTAGTGCCCCAAATGTTTGTATTTGTTAGAGAGAGAGACTCATTAATTACATCGTATTGCAAATGCCTACGAAATTCAATTTGGATGAAACTCTTTTTCGTTCTGTTTTTTGTTTTTTGTTTTTTGTTTTTGGTCAAGGTTTGGAAGGGGCAAGGAGAGGTGCTACTGATGTTTGAACCTCTGACTACCGATTTGCAGATAAATACTCTTATCACTGAGCTATGAACCCGTATATTGACTCTTTTTTGTAATGCTTAGATATGTCTTTGTTTTATACATAAAAAAAGAAAAATCCAACCAAGCAATACTCACCCATGAGAAACATTAATGAACCGCATTTGATTAGTTAAACTGAGACTATAGTTGAAAGGTATTTGGTCACTTTTCAGGCCCATGCATATAGCACCTCATTATAAGACATTCCGATTACATGGATAACGTTGATAACATTGACATGTAATAAATATTATTAGGAAGGACTGAATTCGGAGAAATTTTTGTATGTTCCGGATACACTAGCTGAATAGTGAACAAAATATTCATCAAAGATAATCTCCACTAAATAATAAACTTCCTAAAATTTTGACTTCGCGCTTTCCTATTTATTCATGTTCTTAGTGAGATTGCACCTTTTCTTTCATATTTTGGAAATTCTCTAATAACTATATCCCCATTTTATTGTAATTGAGATACAAGTTGTCATGGAGATTAGGAAACCACAAAACTCTACTAAAAACAAAGATGAAAAAAGGTATAGGCCAACCCTAAGAATGGAAAAGTAACGACCTTGCCTTAACATGTGGGACAATATATGTCAAAATTGATGACTATATTACCACCATATGATCCTATTGCCAAATCAAGAACCCTTTGCTTAGTGGGCATGCCTCGTGTTATATATTTAAGTTTTTTATTATTTATTTTTAAAATGAACTCAGACTTCATGAAAGAAAAAACAAATAAAAACCCACTCAGAAGCTATCAAATATATACCTAACTAATACCATACAAAAGAGAACTTCTAGCCCCTTCATTTTTCTCCTTCCTCTAGCCGCCAGTAGCTTTCACCTTTGCAGGATTATGCATGTTATCTTTGATGATTAGGAAGTCACAAAGCGGATGCCGATAAAAGCATATGTATTTTTGGCTAATCAAAAAGCTGGAAAACAAAGTGATCATCAATGAAAGTTTTTAAATCTTTTGAGATGTTAATGGATTTCACAGTCCTTGAGTTACTCATGAGTCGAAAAGAAATTAAGTACTTTGTTAGTCTTTGTTCTTAATTTTAAATCTACTAAAAGATCTTTGTCTTCTGTTTTTGTCTTGAAGACATTACAAAACGAAAATAGAAAATAGAAAGTTAGGGAAGTTAGGGAAATCGAAAATAGAAAGAAAAAAACAAAGGGAAATTGTGTGGATCAAAATGAAATATTCCATATCGAACAATTATAAAACTTTACTGAAAATAATAGAAAGAAAAAAAACATTACTGAAAATAGAAAGACATTACAAAACAGAAGATCTATGGGCCATTTTATTATCTTCAATGTTTTCCGGGAGAATTGTGTTGGGTTAGGAAGTTAGGGAAATCGAAAATAGAAAGAAAAAAAAAGGGAAATTGTGTGGATCAAAATGAAATATTCCAACTATTATAAAACTTTACATTTAAACATACTGAAAATGGTTAATTAAGTTGAAGACAATATTAATATAACATGTAAAGTCGAACGAGGTATGTCTTCAATAGTGAGAATCAGGAGTCAATAGTTTTTGGATAATATTAATATCTTGTTTATAATAAATCATACACTCTTCTTCTTCAACAATTGAGTATCAGAGATTTTGCTTATTGGTCTCAGATTTACCTGTGTATTGATTTTTATTTAATTTTTTTTATAAAAAAAAACAAGTAAAATTGGGCTAGTGATTCTTTAAAGGCCCTCCTGCATTCTTCTTGAGAACCTTTCACCTTTGCAGGATTACGTGCCTGGTACAAATTGGATTCGGCTTAGCTGGAAGCTCAAAACCAGCCCAATCGAAGAAGATGCTCAAGTCTGTAAAATAAGATGATTCCACCCTAAGATTTGCTCAATTCACCCAAAGCTAATATTATGGTTTGCCTCCACAGAAGCTGTTGTGGAAGCCAATCAAAGGAGTGAAACTCTCCATTCCCAGCCATGGCTCGATTTTTCCTTTTGTTTTGTTTAAAATATATATATATTTTTTAAACCGTGAAAGTTAATTTTTTATAGGTTTGTTTTGAAATATTCAAAATTTGGGCTGGGCACATATGTAGCTCCACATAAATAACTGTTCAAATCAAGCCAACCCAATCTTGTAAAATCATATTGTAAATTGGGCTTGTACATAGAGAGCAACCCCACAAGAGGAATGGATTTTGTTCTTTATTTTCCTGGACTTGAAGGAACCAAAAGAGTGCTGCTATTTCCACAAACCTGTCCTATTATCCCATTCACCTTATTTTCAAAATTTTAAAGATAAATTTACTTATTTGTAGAATGACTTATGAGGACAAATCTCTCAATCTCTCTCACACGCACACGCACCCACACCCATATTTTCTTTTTCTTTTTCTTTTTCTTTTTGTTCAAAATCCACACACATCTTCATACCTAACCCACCAAACAAAACGAAATCAACATCTTTCTCTCCCTGCGTTCTTCAAAAATTAGGAACCAGAAGAAAACCTCAACTTACAAACTCATAACCCCAATTTTATTTTCAATCACACATAATCCAATTGATTTTCTTTCTTCTCTAACTCTAAAGCTCAAGTAGTCTCATAATTACATCGACTTTGAGCTTTTGGACAACCCTAAAACTGATAGAAAATATTACAAACTTGCCGGAGAACAAAGAGAACAATAATCATGTCTAGATATAGTCCAATACTAAGAAAATACTTTTTTAAGAAAACAGATTCATGAAAGAAATTCCAACGAGGCATATACATCTTAAAAGTATTCATGTTTATTATGAATGTTGCTGTCAACTTAAGAGAATATTCTTTAGATTTCTATCGTCTCCACATTCCTTTTATAACCATGATTTATTGTTCTATAAAAGGGCCATATATCTCTCATAGAATTTCCAAATTATGGCTTATATTACTTACCTGATTTTATGAGGATTTTTTTGGACAATTTAGGATTGCTTGGTGTACAATTTGTTCTAATTACAAGTTTTAAGCCGAGCGTTTTTAGACAATTTAGGATTGCTTGGCTTGGCAGCAGAGTAATCTTGTTCCACAAGTAAAAGATCTTGTAGAGAAGGCGGAGGGTTTTCTTTTTAAGGCTGTATAAAAGCCCCCTTCTCGTTCCACCTCCATTCACAACAACCATTACAACAACATCAAAACTCTAAGCACAGACCCTCCGTGGTTCGGACGACAATGGACCTCAAAGAATCAGTACGCAACCAAACTGACGTGGGCCTAAGAATGACGAGGCACCTGTTTCTAGCTGAAGCCAAGGGGCAGAACATGGTGTTCTCGCCGCTCTCCATCCATGTTGTGTTGAGCATGATAGCAGCTAGCACAAAGGGTCCAACCCAAGACGAGTTACTCTCTTCCCTAAAGTCCATGTCCACCGGAGAACTCAACTCCCTCGCCTCCAATCTCCTCCCTTTCGTGTTTGCTGACGGCTCCCCCAGCGGCGGTCCCTGCCTGTCCTTCGGGAATGGCGTTTGGGTCAACGAGTCTCTCCCTCTCAAGCCCTCTTTCAAAGAGGTGGTGGATACTTTTTACAAAGCGGCTCAAAAGCATGTCGATTTCCAGAACAAGGCTGAAGAAGCAAGAGCTGAAGTCAACTCATGGGCTGAAAAGCAGACTAAGGGCGTTATTAGAGAAGTACTTCCTCCTCAGGCAGTTGACAGCTCAACAAGGGTCATCTTTGCAAATGCATTATACTTCAAAGGAACTTGGGATGATGACCCGTTTCTGTACTAAAAAACAAAGGACTATGTCTTCCACCTTCTCAATGGGAGATCAATAATAGAGGCACCCTTCATGACTATCTACAAGAGGCAGTTTATAAGTGCCTTTGACGGCTTCAAAGTCTTAAAACTTCCATACAAACAAGCATACGGTGAGAAGAGGCGTTTTTGCATGTGCTTGTTTCTTCCAGATGAAAAAGATGGTCTGCCAGCTCTGGTTGAGAGAGTTTGTTCTGAGCCAGGCTTCTTAGATCGCCATATTCCATGTTTCAAAGATGAAGTGGGTATCGTCAAAATCCCAAAGTTTAAGATTACTTCTTGGTTTGAAGTTTGGGGCATTCTCGAGCAGTTAGGTTTGAAGCTTCCTTTCCACTTGACAGAGATGGTGGAAGCGCCTCCAGGTCAGGACCTTTTTGTTTCCAAAATGCTCCATAAAGCCGTCATCGAAGTTAATGAAGAAGGAACGGAAGCTGCCGCTGTTACAGTGACCAGTGCGAGCTTTTCGTTCGCAGCATGTAAGCCTAGGAAGACGGTAGACTTTGTGGCAGATCACCCATTCCTGTTTTTGATCAGAGAGGAAATGACTGGAGCGGTGTTGTTCATTGGGCAGCTGCTCAATCCTCTTCAAGGCTGATTATACTAGACAAGTATTAATAAATATGTCCTCTTTTTGTTTATTTCTCTTTGTATTAAAAATCTGATCCATTCAGTTAGGATTTTTTTTTAAAATATTTAATTATCTGTGTCAGCCAATGTTTACATCCCTCTTCAATTTGAGGTGGTTTGAAGGGGGTCTTAAGTTTTGGCTTTGTGTGAAGAACTTCATAAAGGAGGATGCTTTTCTTAGTTTTTACATACAGCCTACAGGCGGTCTTAAACTATACACACATATATATATATATATATATATAGGGACGAAATTATATGGACATCCATTTATGTGGCTGATCATCCATTTATGTTCTTGATCAGAGACGAAATTACTAGAACAGTGTTGTTGGTTGGGTATGTGCTCAATCCTCATGTAGGCTAATTATTGTATGATATTAAATGACCCCTTTATACTGGAGAAGGATTGAAGAAAGTGTGCAGATGAAACCAAACAAGGATATATGCACGTCTTTGGTGTTAAAAAACAAAAAAAGCATTTTGATGTGGTATTTATAGTTAGCTATTGCACTTTGTTTGGCGACTGTTGTCCATTTTGTGACAGAGTACATAATCTAATGGTTTTTTCACCACCAGAGAAACCATTAGATTGCGTAATTAGGCAAGCTTGTTTTGACATCGAATCTCTTTGTAAATAGCATTTTAGTCTATAATAATCTCAACCGTTGTAATAATCTATCCGCTTAAAACATGGCATGTCATCGAACTTTGAGTTTTTATCGTTTCTTACTTCTGTTAATATTGAAGCCGTCAGTTTTTTATAGATTGCTTCTTTTTTGCCTTTGCCCTGGATTTTTTCTGGGAATGAAAGAGAATGAGAGAAGCTCTCTCGTCAATTTTCTTATTTACTTCTATAAATCCAAACCTCTCTCCCTCACTCTCACATATTTGAAGAGGGTCTTCTGTCAATTGCTTGTTTACTTTCAATTCAAATATTCTCAACGAAATCCAAATCTGGAGAAGCCTATATACATGCATATTTGCTCTGATCACCCCTCTGAACCTTGAACATAATTCTCAAACTAGAAAAAATTATGACTACCAATTTTGGGGTTTCTTCAAAATGAAGCTCAGATGATCAAGTAGCAAATTGCTTGATATGAAAGTTCAAATTTTCAGATCTTTGTTGGGTCTCTCTCAAAATGAAGCTCTTGCTGGGTTATTGTCTAGAGTTTTATAATTGCACGGACTTATATCAATGTTTTTTTTTTTTTTTTTTTTTTTCTAACGGACTTATTATAATTGCAAAATCTGAATTTTATGCACCAATAAGCAGGGTATATATAGTGATCCAAAAGGCTCCACATTTAATGTTTACCAATGGAGGAAAGATTAGAAATTTAATAATAATATAATAATTAAGGTGCAAGCCCATAAGATCAACTTCAAACCAGTGTGTCTCAGCTGTTTTTTCTTTGCCCTTGATCGGGGTTTGGTAAAGATCTACAAAATGTTTTGGCGTGCGCCAAATGAGTGCAATTGGAATTGGGGAACATCAAGCCCTCAATTATTTAGAATCAAATAACTTTAGATTCTGATTCAATCAAGGAACTTCAGGCTCTGATCTCTTGTATAATACAAACTCATCATAAAATATTAATTAAATTAATTAAACTTTGAAAAAAAAAAAAAAAAAAAAAAAAAACAAAAAAAAAAAAAAAACTAAAAAGTAATAGTATGAAAATTATGAAATAGCAATAGAAGTCATGACTACTACATATAAAAATTGTAAAACTCGTAAACCATAAATTAATAAATAAATAAAACAGAAACAATAGGAAGTTTGTAAGCCATCAAGGTATTAGTTAATGAATAATTATGATATAAACAATAATATAGAATATCACTTATCAAACGCATCTATAGCGCCGTGTTGGCATAAAAGACATGATGATATATCAAATTCTTGAGTCATTCATGCAGTATTTCCCCAAAATTATTTTAAGAAGGATTTTTTGCTGTTTTTAAATATAATTTTTAGGAATAAATATAATTAATTGTTTCCTAAAAATTAAATTTCAAAACAGCAAAAATCCTTCTTAAAATAATTTTGGTAGGCAACGCAAAATTTGAATGGAATGGGAAAGTACATAGGCCAAGCGGGTTAAGCCCAAAACGGTGGTAGCCTATCCAATGGGGCTTTTGTTAGTTGTATTTGTTTTGCCTTACATTATCTTTCCTGAGGAGCATACTGCTCTTTTGGAATCGAATCTCCATATTAATAATTGTTCTTTTTCTAGCTCTAGCGCATTATTAAACCTCAAAATTTGAAATAAAGAGACCAATTGGAAACGGATTTGGGGAAAACCTTGAAAAATTATCTAATCTCCAAAGCCATACGGAGTAAACTTGTAATTTTACAAAATAAATCGGACAATTAATTAACAAATCAGAGAGAGAGAGAGAGAGAGAGAAATCCTAACGTAACACGGATTTCTAACAAAGCCCATAAATAATAGGCTACTCTCTCATTGTCCCTCCCACGCCTCTTTCTCTGTAGTCTTCTTTTGGTCTGAATCTTTCTCTACAGTCAGTTCTTTTATTTTATAGAGAGATCAAGAAATTATTGTTTGGCAATGACTTTTGATTTAAGAAACTTTGTCATATTATTGTTCCTAGCAGCAGTAATTGTCGGGCTTGGGAACTTGGAGGCAATGTCTGAGGAAAATCCTCAAAATCCAGCAAACGCTAAACTTGCTCAAGCATTCGAGGATTGGATAATCGAGTACAAGCCCGTTTACTCAAGTAATGAAGAAAAGGAGAGACGTTTCGCCTACTTCAAGAAGTCGTTTGAGTCTGTGGAGAATTTCAAGCAGTCATTCAACCTATTTGCTGATCGTAGCGACGATGAAAAGTCTAAGCCCTGCTTCTTGCCAAATGTGTTGGAAAAGAAGAAATTAAGGGAGGATATGTTTTGGCTAAACCTTAAACCCTCAAGCTATTATTAATAGCTTAGCTTTCAAAAATTAAATAAGAGTACAATTACTTCATTTGTAATTCAATTTCCAAATTTTTTTTCCTCTTAAGGGGTTATTACAAGTAACCATATCATTCTGGATATACTAGCAGTATATTGTATATACTGCTAGTATATACTGATTCTCTCGTCAACAATTGATTAAGGGGTTATTGATAGTATTTTCATTAATTGATTAATGTTTGTGTTTTGATTAATTGATTAGGGCTTTGTGTTTTGATTAGTTTTCTTAAAATTTCATTTGGATCCATCACTCCCCAGAGATTGATTTGAATGCAATGGAAGATTATAGCAATCCAAAGAAAACAATGTCAGTTTTATGCAAAATCTGAATTTTATGCACCCATAAGCAGGGTATATATAGTGATCCAAAAGGCTCCACATTTAATGTTTACCAATGGACGAAAGATTAGAAATTTAATAATAATATAATCATTAAGGTGCAAGCTCATAAGATCAACTTCAAACCAGTGTGTCTCAGCTGTTTTTTCTTTGCCCTTGATCGGGGCTTGGTAAAGATCTACAAAATGTTTTGGCATGCGGCAAATGAGTGCAATTGGAATTGAGGAATTTTAAGCCCTCAATTATTTAGAATCAAATAACTTTAGATTTTGATTCGATCAAGGAACTTCAGGCCCTGATCTCTTGTATAATACAAATTCATCATAAGATATAATTAATTAATTAAAATGATACATTAAAAAAAAAAAAAAAAAAAAAAAAAAAAAAAAAATAATAAAGGTTAGAATTGTATGAAAATATGAAATAGCAATAGAAGTCATGACTACTACATATAAAAATTGTAAAACTCGTAAACCATAAATTAAAAAAATAATTATTATATAAAAAAAAAAGAAAAAAAAAAGAGAAACAATAGGAAGTTCGAAAGCCATCAAGGTATTAGTTAATGAATAATTATGATATAAACAATAATATAGAATATCACTTATCAAATACATCTATAGCAACAAATAAACATGCCGTGTTGGCATAAAAGACATGATGATATATCAAATGCTTGAGTCATTCATGCAGTATTTCCCCAAAATTATTTTAAGAACGATTTTTTGCTTTTATTCCTAAAAATTAAATTTCAAAACAGCAAAAATCCTTCTTAAAATAATTTTGGTAGGCAACGCAAAATTTGAATGGAATGGGAAAAGTATATAGGTCAAGCGGGTTAAGCCCAAAACGGTGGTAGCCTATCCAATGGGACTTTTTTTACGTGTATTTGTTTTGCCTTACATTATCTTTCCTGAGGAGCACATGCTCTTTTGGAATCGAATCTCCATATTAAATTAATACTTCGTTTATAGTTCAATTTCCAAATTTCTTTTTGGGCAAGTGATTAAGTCTCTAAATTAAATTATTTTTTTCTCTAGCGTATTAACTTAAATAATTCAGAAATTAAGGAAACAAATTGATTGACCTTATCAAACAAAAAAGGAAATGAATTTGGTGAAAACCTTGAAAAATTATCTAATCTCCAAAGCCATACGTTTCTGAACTATAAACAACTCCAATGAATCAAGTGGACTGTCTAGATTAAACTATAAACAACCAGAGAGAGAGAGAGCAATCCTAACCTAACACGTTTCTAACAAAGCCTATAACTCTCTCCTTTCTTTGTTGGTTTCAACTGAAGCCTATAAATATAAATAAAAAACACGTCATTGCAAACGCCTGTGTGTTTACATTGTTGTCTTACGAAGCTACCTCATAGTAAACAACCAGAGAGTAGGCCTCATCATTTGGCCTGCGGGCTCATGGGCCGATGAGGACCTGTCCGACCCATAAAAAAAGCCCGGCTCGGCCCGTTATGGGCTTTGAGATGGCCCGGCCCGCTTTGGATCGGGCTAGGCTTGGGCTTAGGTGTCTAAAGCTCGGCCCAGCCCGATTAAGCCCAAGAAAGCCCGGCCCGGCCCGCCTACAAAAGCCCGGCCCGTTAGGCCCGCATACATATATAATTATGTATAAATAAGAGTTTAGGTTTAGGATTATCACTTAAATCACATATATAATTTGTTTCATTTTATTTACTTTTCTTTACTCATTCCTAGTTTATAATTGGATGATTGGCACATTAATTTGTGTCAATAATTAATTCAACAATTATATATATATATATATATATATAAGATGAACAACATATCACATCACCAAATATAATCATATCACGAAACATAATCGTACAACCAAATATAATCATGCTTTTCTTGAACACTTCACCAAATATTTGCATATTTATTCATACTATCCTTTAAAAAAAATATTTTTTTGATACTTATTATTTTTTAAAATTATTTCTTAAAACGTATTACGGTCTAATTATGTAATAACCTCAAAAAGAATACTTGGTTTTATTATTTTTGTGGAAAATCTTATTAAGTTGTGTGACTTTATTGGGTGTTTTATGAATTTGGTTTGATGTGAAAATATTGGAATTAAGTGAGTTTAATCTCAAATTTGGACTAAAATACCCTTATGATTAAGTTTATGATTTTTTTTGAATGAAGTAAGCCCGTTTAGGCCCAGCCCGTTGGGCTTAGCCTGGCCCGGCCCGATGGACTTTCTCAAGCCCTGCTCATGGGTTGGGCTTGGGCTTTGAATTTTCTAAAAAAACCCAGTTCGGCCCGGCCCGATATTTTCTCTCTCCTCTTTAAAGCCCAGCTCGGCCCAGCCCATTGACGAGCCCTACCAGAGAGAGAGAGAGAGAGCAATCCTAACCGCGTCTATGTGTTTACATTTTTGTCTTAGGAAGGAGAGAGAGAGAGAGAGAGAGAGAGAGAGAGAGCAATCCTAACCTAACACGTTTCTAACAAAGCCTATAACTCTCTCTTTTCTTTGTTGGTTTCAACCGAAGCCTATAAAACTTGCTTCAGTTTTGAGACTTTATGAGGCGAGGAGATCACCTTAGGAATTTTGACAACTTTATAAAGAAGATCATTCACTTGAGTTCGAAGTGAGTCATCATTTACTTTCTTGAAATGAACAAAAGACTTTTTCTCAAAATTCCTAAGCTCAAAACACTTTGGTCTTTTGTGTCCTAATGTGCCACAATGATGGCAAGTAGGAATGAACCTTTTTGATTTTGGGAAACCAAATTTTGCAAGTGAAGAGTGTTTATCCCTTTTACAAAGAACAGATTTTGCAAGCTCACATATTTTAAGAGATGAAACATGGTTTTTAAAGCCATTTGCATTGGTTGCTCTGGACACATTTCATAGAGCATTACACCTAGGTCGAATGTGACCTTTCACACCACAATGGTGACAAGTAGGAATGAATCTTTGAGTCCTAGTTGGCTCTAAAACATAAAACTTTGTATTTGACTCCTTGACAAATGTGGTCAAAGGAGGAGGAACACATGAACTAGAACAACCATAACCAAAACCAGTTTTGTCTCCATGAACCTTACCCATATTCAACATTTTATCCACCTTTTTAGCCCCTATGGTAAGCTTGATCACCGTGTCATTTGCCTCATTTATTTGAGTCAAAAAATTCTTGTTGAAGACTTGGAAAATCAAGTTGTTTTCCTTGAGCACATTCACTTGGTTTGAAATGTCATTTTTAATGACAATCAATGAATCTCTTTCACTCTCCAAGGTCTCAACATTTTCACTTAATTCATTAATTGCTTCTTTAAAAGTGCAATTAAGAATTTCCAGGTTCTTTACCTTCCCTTCAAGTAAGAGATTTCTTTCCTTAAGCTTGGAAGTTTTAGTAAAAAGGATATCATACTTTTCACACATACCCAAGTATGATTGGTCATCCTGTTCCATGTATGACTGGTCATCCTGCCTATCATCTCCAGGCACACATTCTTCCTTAATTACATGAACTCTAGCAAGGCTAGAGTTATGAACAGAACCAACAAGGGCAAAATTATTTGCCTCTTCATAAGATGAAGTGATATAGTTGTTGGAATCATCACTATCACTATCACTCCATTGTGCACTAATTGACTTTTCTCTCTCATTAGACTTTGTCATGTGGTTATTTGCACATTCCACATCAATGTGACTAGCACCGCCACATAGATAGCACTTTACAAGACCCTTCAAACTTTTGTCCTCCCTAAAGCCATAAGAGTTCAAAAAAGTCATCTCTTTAAAAACATTGTCTTGACACACACATGTAGACGGACTAGGAAGATTTTGACAATTCCTAGTGACTTTGGTTTTATCTTTGACAACCCTCTTATATTTCTTAACAAACAAGGCAAACTCATCATGAATGCAAAGAGCAATTTGATCCATTTTTATGTTTACACACCTAATACCAATTAGCACCCAAAGGATCTCTCTATTTATGTTAAGAGCTGGTGCTCTGATACCAATTGAAAATGGTACTTAGGTGACGAGGTGTAAATTTAAAAGATATTCAACCAAGAACGCAGCAAACTTCACACACTCTAGACCTCGACCAAATACTCACACTCTTATGACTTTTTCTGTTTTAAATGATACCAATTGACTTTTTCTGTTCTTTATAAGAATTAGTTGCGATTCTTTGTTGTTTTGTTGTTAACAAATGTAATTATTCTTCCCACTTTCAAATAATATATATATATGTACTTTTCTGAGTTTTATGAATAATTTTTTTTTGAAAATCAAGATTTTATTAAAAAAAAACTCAAGAAGAGAGCATCTGCAGAAAGAGATGGGAGCAGCCAAGTAGGTGCTTCCTCAATCCAAAAAACAAAATCATTACAACTGATTGCAAATTGAGCCAAGATGTGTGCCACCTTATTACAACCCTTGGGGGACCACTGATAGAAAGCTACTCTAAAGTAGCTTAATAGGCATTTTGCTTCTTCAAGTAAAAGACCATCTGTTTCATTGCATTCCTCCACCAAAAGAATACCAGTTATGCATTCTTTTGCGTTCATCTCTAGAATGGCACGAGTATATCCCATATCAAGAGCGAAACCAAGTATGATCCCTTTTTCTAAAGGGTCAAATTAAATCAACCTACGAGCATTATGGTTTTTCAGTCTACACCTCATTTTCACACAAGTTATTTATTTTCTTCATATAAGTGATAGTCTAAATTACTTTAAAATTAATCGAATTTATGTGGAGAGGCATTCGAACTTGAGTGCAAAAAGACGAGCTTACTGCCCTAATCAACTAATCTAACACGCATCTACTTCACACCAGTCAATTCAAGCCGCACGAAGCATCCTTCATAATCCTTAATTATTTGTGTTGATTCTACAAAGCACTCTCTGTTAATGTATGCATTTATGAGTTTTTTTTTGACTTCCTTAGACAACTTTATAATAGGATTGTTATTGAAAAATGGTACTTAGGTGACAAGGGGTAAATTTAAAAGACATTCAACTAATAACACAGCAAACTTCACACACTCTAGACCTTGACCAAATACTCATACTCTTATGACTAGTCAACTGTCAGATATTAATCATACCAAACAATAACATATACAGAGCATACCAAGATGAACCTACAAGCCTAGAGAATTACTAGTGACAACCTAAGCACTTAGAAGGACCTGTCAATCTAGGCATTCCATGTGCTAGCAACAACTTTGGTGAAAGTGTGTGAAGACAGCATAATCAAGCAAACACCAAACATCAAAAAAAGATGACTAGTCAACCGCACAGACCCAGATGACTAGTGAACTATCAAGAACACAAACCCAGAAAATTTACAGAGATGGAAACCAGAAACTGTTCACCCAGAAACCCACCATTGGGAAAAACTGGGGGTCATCAACCGACCAGGCAATCCACTAAGTAGAAAAAGATTGTTACAAAGGAACACAAGCAAGCTCAAGAAAAACCTAGATCTATTTAGGAAGATGAGCTATACCTCCTTTGTGCAATCTTCTTCTCCAACTTAGCAAAACTTGAAGCTCAATTCTTCATGGCAATGGCAGCTCTTTCTCAAGCTCGTTCATCCCATGGCACTAGCTTGCAAGCTCCAACACAAACCGAAACCAAAATTTGGATTCAAAGGAGAATGACCAATTTATTCAAGAAACCATACTCTTGAAGAAATCAGTCTTGAATCTGACCTAGATATAAATGAGAGAATGATTTAAGTAGCTAGATGCAGATTCGTGTTTCAAATGTAGTTTTTCAAAAAGAAATCAATTGGAAAAACTCATAGATGAAATAAGATGGTTCTCTCGAGGAAGAAGAAGCGAAAGATGGCAAGCCAAACTTTCCAAAACTTCCACCTAAAAGAGACAGCCGCCAAATGAGCAAATCCGTAGTCTTTACAGACAAAAAAAAATCCTTAGGTCAGAAACACACATGGCAGCAGAGAGAGAAAGGAGAATAGGACAAACAGTTTGTTATCCAGCTGGAAATCCTACAGAGCAAGGATGACTAGTCATATGAGAAACAGATGACTAGTCATCATTTTATGAAGACAGTTTAATGTAATGATATGCAATGCACAATTTACCTTTGTCAATTTGCTTGAACCTCCATAGAACAGAAGTTAGATAAGAACACCAAGAGAAACTTTTCTTAATCTAAACTTGAGCTTGATAAATAATAATACAAATCCTATTACAAAGTTGTCAAGGGAAGCCAAAAGAAAATTACAAAAACCATACATTCACAGTTATTGTGTTTATCATGCTCATGTTTAGTATAAGAATAGCTTCTCTAGGTGTTCTTAACTAACAGCTATCCTATGAAGGCTTAAGCAAATTGTCAAAGGTAAATTGTGCATTGCATATCATTGCATTAAATTGTTTTCATAAAATGATGACTAGTCATCTGTTTCTCGTATGCCTAGTCATTCTTGCCCTGTAGGATTTCCAGCTAGTTCTGTCCATGTGAGAATTTTGTATGGACTTATAGCTTTAGCTATAAAATATCCAACCCATGCACAAACCAACGGTCAGAATTTGACTCTTGCTTTTTCTCGTGCAAAATAAAGAAAATCCATCTCGTTAGGTCTTAGTCGTTAAAGCTAGTGATGAAGGATTACAACTATTAAGCATGACATAACGTGCATCTAACAGAACAACTTGAAAGGAAGAAAGCAAGACCACTCATACAATTTGTGTGGGATACCGCTGGCAATATATTGCATGGAGGGAATGACAGGAGCAGAATTGCAATTTCCAGGCATGACAAAGCCACTTTGTCTCAAAATTTGCCGTGCCATTTTGGCACTTTAACTATTTACGGTATTTGCAGCCCATAATCAGCTACATTCATGCATGGACAGAAATATGAAAAAAGCAAAGCTATACAGTATTAGTAGTAGTAGTAGGTGTGAAACTTCAAGTTATCAAAAGATTTATTTTTTGAGTGTCGAGGTTCTCTTAAAAAAAAATATTTGTGTATACATGTTTTACTTTAAACCATAAATGGATTGAAAGCTAGTCATACACTTTTTTCTGTAAATGAGTAACCAACTCATGAGATAGAATATAGGAAACGCACGTACACCTATATATATATATATATATATATATATATATATATATATATATCCAAATGAGAGCAATCTTTTAGGTCTTCAACCGCCGCCACCAGCACTGCTTATAATATTTTTGCTTAATTTAAATACTTTTTATTTAAATAATTTGTGATATGACTGATTGCAGATCACGACAGAATGAAATACTTTTATTTACTTAATTTGTGGGTAACAAGAAAATTAAATATAGCTCCTAGTGGAAGACAAAGACCTATCTAAAGTCTAACCAGAGGGAGGGAGGGTGGCGTAAGCAGAGCAGAACATGAGCAATCATTTTAGTTAGGTCATCCCACAAAGCAGAGCAGAACATGTTTGTGTTCCTCAATATTTCTGCCTTCTGCTTTTGTTGCCACAGTTGACATAAATGCCAAAAAGACCAGCAATGTAAAAATGCCTATATTTGATCCATTTCCAGATACAAAGCCTCAAATTATTAAACATAAGATACTGAATTCTGTCATGATGTTAGCTCGACGACCTAATTCGTATGTGTAAAGATGCTCGTCCAATATTTTTAATTTTTGTATTGTTAAAATCACATTTCGGGACATGTTCACATAATTAATGGACCCTCCAAAGTAATCTTATTTTTGATTGATTGATGAGATAGACAAATCATACATGTACTATAGTTGGTCCAAATTATTTTCAGATTAAGATAGATCAAACGAAATTTAATATAATCAATTGGATGGCTGCGGGGGACGAGACAGTTGAATCCAAAATGGACCAACAATTGACTGTCAATGCAACGCGTAGCATTTTGTAGTTGTAGCTGCCAATGCTCCCAAGTAACTCCATTTTTTTCCTGGAGGGAAGCCATTAAAGCTTGGTTTTAGAATGTGTTTGTTTTATTTTGAATGGATATCATTGGCGGGTGCGTCTGTGTCAGTCATTTGGTAAGAAGAGAAAAAATGATGGCAACCTAATTAGTGAATGTGAAGAAGACAGACTGAAATGCAATCCAAGAAATTAATATTATAACACGTGGAGTTTATCATCAAAATAATACACCTCATGCACTGACGACCTGGAGGCACAGAATAAAATTTGAAAATTAATGCCCCAAATGTTTGTATTTGTTAGAGAGAGAGACTCATTAATAACATGGTATTGCAAATGCGTACGAAATTCAATTTGGATGAAACTCTTTTTTGTTGTGTTTTTTGTTTTGTTTTTGGTCAAAGTTTGGAAGGGGTAAGGAGAGGTGCTATTGATGTTTGAACCTCAAACCACTGATTTGCAGATAAATACTTTTATTACTGAGCTATGAACCCGTAGATTGACTCTTTTTTGTTATGCTTAGATATGTCTTTGCTTTATACATAAAAAGAGAAAAATCCAACCAAGCAACAAACTCACCCATGAGAAACATTAATGAACCGCATTTGATTAGTTAAGCTGAGACTATAGTTGAAAGGTATTTGGTCGCTTTTCAGCCCCATGCATATAGCACCTCATTATAAGAAATTCCGATTACATGGATAACGTTAATAACGTTGACATGTAATGAATATTATTAGGACGGACTAAATTCGGAGAAATTTTTGTATGTTCCGGATACACTAGCTGACTAGTGAACTAAATATTCATCAAAGATAATTTCCACTAAATAATGAACTTCCTAAAATTTTGACTTCACGCTTTCCTATTTATTCATGTTCTTAGTGAGATTGCACCTCTTCTTTCATATTTTGGAAATTCTCTAATAACTATCCCCATTTTATTGTAATTGAGATACAAGCTGTCATGGAGATTAGGAAACCACAAAACTCTACTAAAAACAAAGA